TCAGTTCTTCAGTGAGTATAGAATACATTTGAATTCAGTGTTAACATTCATACAAACACTGACAATAGGTCTCTAAATAATTGATTTAGAAACACACTTTTCTGAAAAGTTTTTCAAAGATCTTTTTTTTAAAATTTTTGATAGAATTCATTAATTAAATTTGAAAAAATAAATAAATAAAAATAAATAAATATACATATAGTTCACCACTCCATACTTTCCTAAAATTTGAAACCTGAATTTGCTGGTGACGTGTGATACCACAAATGGCATGCGAATCTTGTCTATGTTAGAAGATCAGTCAAATATATCAGCACAATTGAAATAATTTGTGCAGTAGCTTGCTTTGCTAGGCAACTTTATTTCCGAACTTTATGGTAACAAAATAGACCAAAGTGGGAAGAAAAATCCTATGGAAGCCAAAAATACAAAATTGAGAACCAGTATTTGCAAACATAAAATTCAGCACTTTTGGTACTTATTAGATAATCTTTCAATAGAAATTCTGAAATTAATTCCAAATTTAATTGGATTTTATTCCTATCAGAAGTAGCTTTTCCTGACTGTGAATGACATTCTAACAATAAATTAAATAACAAATACTGCAACTGTTCTGTAAAATCCACATACTCCACTGATGTAATCAGACAGAAAACCTTTAGGACCTCTCATCCTGATTTAAAAACAGTAAAATAAATCCAACTCTATTTGTGTCTGGAGATAAACAGCAGAAAGCAGTTGCTGTAGTCCAAGAAACTGTAGCTTTTTTTGTTTCTGAGTTTATACGTATTGCTAGCATGTGACACCACAGTAAATGTATGCTATCCAGATGTACGTTTTTAGTTTCCAGACCTCATAGTATTTTTACATAACATCATAAGATGTTATATAAAAATTGTATTTTGCCTTCGTAAAGCTTCAGTTTTTCCTCAAGTAATAATTACATTAATATCCATCTTTGTATGCTGCATTTATATATAGTTATAAAAGTGCTTATATAAATAAACCTAAATTACTAATATATAATATAAGGTATTATACTAATGTGTATTTATAAATAATATAAAATTATATGTCAAAATTTATATATGAGCTATAACAAAGCTGACACCTTAACGTCACTGGATTCTTTTTTATTGGCTCAGTCTTATAGGATGCCAGTAATATCTTCAAAAAGCAACAACCTGCTTTAAGAAATACTGTCACACTATGTTTCAACATTAATCTCTTTAGCTAAGCTTAGATTGCAATTTAGGATCTTAATGAACAGCAGCAGAAACCTGTTTATAACTGCTTTCTATTTTATTTGAAACTTTTGTAATTGTTTTAGTGTCTTTCCAGACTTTCTTAAAAAGGTGCAGCATAATTTTCACTTATTCTATGTAATTAAGCTTTTAATACAAAAAATTCATTCAGTTGCCCTTAATCAGGAAGTAATTAGTTCTCTTGTTTTTTTTTTTTTTTTTCCTCCTTATTAAGAGATTAAAAGTTTATCTCAGCAGGGTAGAAGATAAAAGCATCGGTTAATGCTGTAGCCTTGCCAAGACTGGGAAATAGAGAAAGAACCTTGGAAAAACATTCTAAGCCTCCTTTCTGTCAATGCATAATATACTTGATATTGGAAACGCTGGTCAGAAATTGTCGCAAAGAGTGCATTACAAATGAAAACTAAGTTCTAGATATTCTGTAATTTTATTTTAGATGTGCCCGTCATGAAGAAGGGTGGGTTACTCTGTCTTCAGAATTCTACTTTCTTCAAAAATGTGTTTGTGCAGATGAGGATATGCATGTGCATCTCAGGCATGTAGGATTTGGATGCTTCTGGATCATGCATTGACAAAGCTGTAAACAACTACTTAGAGGAAAAAAATTGCATTCCACCTTATTTTACCATTGGTCTTGCTAAATATCTGAAAATCTTCAGTTTTTGTGAGATATCTTTAGAACACCTGACTCTTTTCAGAACCCACTTTTGGAAACAGTCTTAAATGTATGTGGGGTCCAACTCCTCTGACAGATATTGCCCAGGCAAAATGTTTCAGAAAGAGTAGAATGAAGCAGGCCTTGTCTCCCTTGCCCAGCTGTGGCACCCTAAATACAAGGGACATACCAGTTGCTTGCTCTGCTGGAAAGAAGCTGATGTTCAGTGAGTTCTTCAAGTCAAGAAGCTCTTTCTGGAGTAGTGTCTCAGTGTTACATAGAGGTGAATAGGACATAGAAATGCTCATCCTGGGTAAGCATGTATTTTCAGCACTGTGTTGATCCAGAGAACAATGTCAAAGACCTTTCTAGAGAAGCCAAAACAAGAAAAGATCCTGCAGAGATGATTGTGTTGGTGCTATCATCAAGGATGGCACTCGAACAATCGGTACCCTCTGTGTTCAAGCTGATGGCTCAGATATTGAAGTATGAGAGAGACTGAAATGGAGCTTGCAGTTCTTTATACTGAGGAAATATAAGGAAACACAGAGGACCTCTCTCTTCAAATTTATGCAAAGCCAAAAACTGGTGGGAAGGAGCAGAAGACATCATAGCATGTCTGATGTTGACAGCAGCACTTGGATGCAAACAGAAATAGCGCAGAACTCGGTTCCCAATACCAACCAGCATCAACTTACATAAATCCTTACGTGGCATAAAGAAACTGGAATCCCCATCTAGATTGTTAAATTTATTACTGTTAGGTCACCAGCTCTCCAGTCATCTGGAGGAATATCCCGCTCTTTTTTATAACTTGGTCTAGCCTTCTATGCAGTTTTGAGCCCTCATTCCCTGACTTTGAGGAATAACAGTTGCCTTATTTGAACCTTGAAATTTTGGAAGGACAGTCAAAGAGAAAGGTGTAGTTACCACAGTAAGTAATGTTCTCAGCAAAATGAATTTGGAGGATTTTACATGGCCTCAGCTATCCATAGCATTTAACCAAGATAGCACCTAAAGATGACAATCCCAGATACTTGATCACAGTGTGGAATATGGGATGATTTTCAGCCTTACTTCATCACCAAATGCAAATATGAAATAATATACAGAGTTTTGGAAGTCTTCTCAGTGTTTCAGGCAGAATCCTTTCTTGAGGTGTCCAAATCGTGCCCAGTGAACTGAAGCTGTGAGCTTTCAAGTATCTCATTAAGTGCACAAACCAAAGCCTTTTCCAACTGACTTTTGTCCTATTTACATTTTAGACTCATCTCACCAGAGCAGCCACCCAAAGCCAAGTTTCTCACCCTGGGTTCCAAGTTCCGCTACAGCGGGCGCACGCAAGCGCAGACGCGGCAGGCCAGCAACCTCATCGACCGGCCCGCGCCGCACTTCGAGCGCACGTCGAGCAAGCGGGTTTCCAGAAGCCTGGACGGAGGTACGCAACCCCCCTGGCCTGCCTGGTGTGCTGATCCCGTTACATGATGGCATTCTGATGTGACTGATGTTGCGATGGATGGTTGGAATGTTCATTAACAGGAATTTGAGAGTTTGGTGATAACTGCATCTCTTACGTGTATGTCAATTTTACCAGACCTGAATAGTAAGTTAAGTTACTGCCTAAAATCTACGGCACTACTAGGAAAGTGCTGTGAGGAGATGCTTGTTCTGCCTATTGCATGTACATGCATTGCATCTATATGACACGATGTGCAAAACATTAAGCTGAATGTGCAAAGCTCTGTATTACGGATGTGCAAAGCTCTGTATTACGGCAGGGCTGTGATGCCTCTGCTCTCATTGATTTTAGAGGGACTGACAGAATGTTACTACTATTTTTAAAAGTATGTCTCTTAATTCAACCACGTTAGACTGTATTATTTTACCTTTGCAGCAGCATTTTTGCTTCAAAGTCTGCCAGACATCTTTTCTCCCAAATTTTTGTGTTTAGAAGTTATATATAGCTAACTCTGAAGATATCTTGCATTGTTGTATGCCCAATCATCACTGTTTCACCAATGTGTGTTACGTGTATATGCTGAGGGGCGCGTAGTCAATTTTTTATCTGTGAGTGAAAAATATAGCTGACGATTTAAATCCTTGAGGGGAGGAAACATGAAATTAGTGTCCTAGACAAGTTCAAAGAGAATATAACTCTTGTGGTAATCTGTCCAGTAAAAAAACAAAAACAGACTTTTAACTCATCTGGAAAGACTGCTTTGGTATTCCCAGCTCTTTCGAGCAGCACTAGGACAGCTTGGTGGTGTTGCCATCTGCAGGCCACAACAGTTCCAGTGACACTTCTCCAAAGCCCGGCTTGGCTGCGTCGCTCCTCGCTCAGGCAGCGAGGCAGGCCGGTGCCGCGCGCGCCCGCAGCGCTGCCGCCGGGAGCCGAGGACGCGCCTGGGGGCGCCCGCTCCCTGCCTCTCCCTCGGAGCCCTGCCAAGGGCCGGGGTCGCTCCGGTTCTTCCTGGCTGCTGAGCCAAGTTCTCTGGCTCTGCAAGGGCTCCTTCCCCGCTTTTCCCTTCTGGTTTTTAAAGCGACCTCAAAGTGACAAGTCCTGCCAAGTCCAGGAATAACCCCGCAGCCCAGCAAAGGCTGGAGCCAACTGCCTGCAGAGCAGCTATGCAAAGCAAGGACTTAAGGTGGGACACAGGTCAATAGCATGTCCTCACGGCAAGGAGAGCCCAGCATGTACTGGGCTTCATTAGCAAGACTGCGACCAGCACTGTGTTCTTTGTTGTTGCTGTTGTGGTGGTTTGCTCCAGTAATATCTTCAATATCTTTCAAGAACAATCAAAAACTTGATATTTAAATATCTACCTGACTCAAATATCTTATGACATGCACTTACTTGCATGCCAAGTGCATGATACATAGCAAGAAGATGAACAACAATGTATTCCTCACTACTGATACCTCCATAAAATCATTTTGTTAAAAAGTCTTGAAAAGAAAAATTCCAACTTACCCCATTGTTTTGTTTTGTTCTTTTTTAGCTCCCATAGGTATCTCAGACCAAAGTCTGCTGAGAGATTTTTCTACCGCCAGAGGGGGACCTGCTGGAGATAAAGTGCTTGACATTGAAGGTGCTGGTCAGGCCAAGCTAAAAGAGGGTGGCAGAGAAGAAAATGGAAGCCCAGTCAAAACTCCACAGTTAGAATTGATTCAGGATGGAAAGGTATGTCTGACTTTCACACCAAAGTTCTTATCCATGTGGGGATATGTGTGTATGTGGTTTAGTGGCTGTCACTTCAGAGTTGTATGGAACACCACATCAAATATTTAAGGATAACTTTCAAATATTTTTTGTATGTTTAACTTAATGCATGTGTATACAAGCCAAAGAGAATGAAACCTTGTGTGGCATTGCCTCTTTCTAGGGTTTTGTCTTTCATTGTTACTAATTTAGTACAATATCTCAAAGGTTGCATGAATTTGAAGAAAAAATATCCAAGAGATAAGTAGGAGTTTGGTTCTTTCTTGGTTTGTTCAGACTTTAAAAAAAAAAAAAAAAAGGCTAGCATATCCACAGTTGTTTGCATTCATTGTTTGCATTCCATGAAACTGGATATATCATGGCTGTTTTTAAGTAATTATGATGGATAGCAATATTCTTGGTCCAGCAGGTATTGCAGAAAACCTTCATCCTTTGAAAATTACCATAATGAAATGAAGTATAAGTTTTTGGGCAGGGGACACAACTAAGTAGCTTTGTGGTCTGTTTCTGCTGAGTTTCTTAGCACAGTTCACATGCTCCCACTTCTTTCCAGTGTGGGAAGGGAACAAATACCAGCAGCTGCATTTTCCGCAGCAAGTCTGAAAAACTTTAAGTTAGTCTAGGAGTACACACATGCACACTTCTTAATGGGGAAAAAACGGTTAAACAAATTATTGTGTCTTATTCTTTGGGCTTGGTAAAATAATGATAGTTCCTTCGTTCCAAAGTGATAGTATCTTTAAATCTTTTCACCAGAGAAGAAACAACAACAACAAAAAAAGCAGTATTTTGGGAGGTTTTTCCATGAGGCTGTTCTGTAAGCTTTTGTTACACATGCCAGCTCTATGAACAGCTTTCTCTTCCTCCTAAAGCAGATATTTTTTTCTCTTTTGGCTCTGTTTAAATCTTGGAGGACATGGTTGTAATGCCAGTAATCAAAGTGCCAGCTTGTCTTTCGTGTTCTGCACTGTCCCCCGACCTTTCTGCCAAGGCTTTGAATGTGTTTCTGCTCCCATTTGTTGTAAGTGACTATTACAGTTCAGAAGTGCAAAGTTCTTAACATCCTGAGAGCAAAACAGGACTAATGGGTTCAGCTCCATAATCTGTGGAAGTAAACAAGTGGGACATGAACATAAAATGAACATGAACGTAAAACATGTTTTTTTTTTTCTATTTTTACTTGGTGTTTCTATTGCGTTATTAGAGCTATTCCTGCTTCTAAGTAAAAAAAAAAAAACCACTAACTACTAATTTCTTTTTTTCCCTTCTTCTTGTGCCTACCAACTTGCATTTTGTCGTATTTTCATTTTCCACTGTTCACAGAATTTATTTCTTCCGCTCACTCCCATTCATCCACCACCACTGCCCATCCAGTGTGTGCCATCCCACCTGGCAGAGCTGGCGCCCATCCCCGACATGGACAGGCTTTCAGATATTTCAGAGGAAGACCCCCTTGTGGAGCCCATCCTTACCATCCCAGACATCTTGGAGTGCAGTCCCATGAAAGAAACACTAGATCATAATGACAGAGAAATCTCTTCACCAAATAATAATAGACCCCTAGCTAGTCGATGCCCTTCCATAATGGAGGGAAAAATCTATAAACAGGACTACAAAAGCACCGAGTTTTGCGTCTCATTCAGCTTTATCAGATGCTTTCCTTTTAGTTTCCATTCGCTGCTTGATGAGGATGGTTATCTGAGTTTTCCTAGCCTTCCTGATGTTTGCATCTCTTTCCTCCCACCTGGCCTTCAGCACTATGTTCCTATTACCTCCCCTTCCTTCATCCCCTCTTTTCTCCTTATTTTTGTGCTGCTTTTCTCTGCTTTCCAGTCTATTCCTTTATCGCTCACATTTTCCCTTCCTCTTGCTCTGTCCCTTTGCTACCTGGAGCCTAAGGCAACTGCATTTGTCACCTCTTATGACAATGACCTGAATGACAAAGCAGAGGAAGAGGAGGTGTGTAATTTTGTTGCTTAAACATTAATGCTTCCGCATAGCTTCCAAAGCACTTCTCCCAGAGATGTCTCAGTTTTGCACACTTCCAAGTGTGTGCGTGGGTGTATATGTATACGTGCATGTGTATGTATTCACACACACACACACATACACACACACACACACGTGTATTTGTTTCTTGGTAAGTTCTCTCATTTGTCAAAAACAGCCCACAATAGTACTAAGAGGTTTTTGGTCAAGAGATAACTTTTTCTTCTTTTGCCTGAATTCACACAGCATGCATAATTTCACTCAGTTACAGAGGTACCGAGCTCCAGGTAGAGTTACTTTGTAGTTCAAAACATTAAGGAGTGAAATAACAGACATATAAATATGATTGCTTTGGTAACATTCTTCTGTTGTGCTATTTGCAGTAGCAACTTATTTGTGGATTAAAATGCATGTCTTCTCAGTGCGTTGCCTTTGAAATACACATCTCCGAAGTTCTGTTTCAATCCGAAAGCTCAAACTTGAAAAGCTATTTTGAGTTCAGAAAATTGTAAATTTAAAATAAGCTTTTTAGATTCCACATTTTGGATGTCTCTGTTCCACAACGGTGTGTGCAAAGCTGAGTCTGTCCACAGCACCTTTTTTTTAACTGCTTTCATTAATCTCCAGCAATAGTTAAGTTGGAGACTGATTTGGCTCATTGGACTGGATTGCAGGTTACATGTCAGACTTCAGACACTGCAGTCTAAACAGTTTTTGAAATGTGCTATTAAAATTGTTTGCAGAAACCTCAGTCACACTAGTACTTTGCTCTGGAGTAGCTGAGAAATTGCCTCCTGTCTTGGGTCTGCTGTGCATGCTATCAGTACTAGACCATGTGCTAGAAAAACTGGTCAGTCTCCAAAGGAAATGTGAAACAAAATATTATAGAACCAAAAAAGAGGGGAGCCCATTCTATATTTAATAGTTAGCAGATTCAGTCAAAAGAATAGATATATTAAGTAGTTCCTAAATATGATGTGACATCATTAAGACACAAATCTAAGTCTAAAGTATTGAAAAAACATGACTTTAAACATGTCAATTTTTCCCTGACCTGATTAAACCTGTAACAGAAAGTTGCATAAAATATAAAAGCCCAGATAAGCAAGAGAAGAATAAAAGCTGTATGTACCTCGCTGCACATTCACACACAATCAAAAAGGTGCCAGTGCAGGCAGCGAATAGAGCAGCGTTCACGTTTAGGAGCTCACAGAGGGCCCAGGTCTAAATGCACCTTTTCAAAGACTGGAATTGGTGCTTGTACCTGTGGGAAGGCTGGGGCCAGGCTGCTGCTTAAAGATTGCATTTCCTCCATAGATGTGCGTTCAGGAGCCATGTAGGACAGGTGAGGAGATCAGCTGTCATTTCCAACAGCATGCACAGCAATATAGTCCTATTAAAATGGGAAGGGACTATAATAATATTAAAAGGGGCTCCCTCCCGCATAGTAACATTCTTCGAGCATTCAAGGCAGTGTGTTATGGCAGTTGTTTGATTTAAATCCTAGACCCTTTTACCAAAATAAGCTCATGCATTAAATTGCATTTTCCCATCAATTTGTCAGAGTATAAGGCTTTTAAAACAGAAATGATACATATCAGCCTTTTTCTTTACTACCTCTTTAATTTCATCTGTCCATGGGAAAAGCACTGGAAAGTACAGCAAGCAAGGGATATAGTGTTGAAATTTCCATTTTTCATTCCACTTGCACCAAATATGACTTCAGTCATTCTACGACAAATATAGGTGAAGGAAGACCAAGGTCGCTTAATAATTTCAGCAACATCTGGGGCCAAAAGAGTAAAGGTCTGTAAATATAGCATATAGTTGCAGCATTTTCAATGAGTTGAAGCCTCTGTTGCTGCATAAGCAGATGTTAACAGTTCCTTTTCTTGATGATTTGCCATGTGCTTACATAGCTGGAATCTGAAGAGGAAGAAGCACAGCAGAAGGTGGACTTTTTTTTTTTTTATTGATTAAATCTGGCTGTAGTTGCCTGCCTTGTTAGTACCTTAAAGTTTCTCTGCATTTTGTTTGAATAGTGTCTCCTCACCTTACCATTTTATTTTCTTTATTTAACTGTCTGATCATTTTTATTTACTTAGTGATATATTTTGTGTTCCTTTTTTTTTTTTTGTCTATGTGACTTAATTTCACAGAAATTACATTCCTTGAAAGTAGACGGGGAAAATATTTATGTCAGACATAGCAATTTAATGTTGGAGGTTTGTATATAATATAAGGAAAACTTTCTCTTCTTGTGGCTGCCAAGTTGCATGGGATGGGAGGTCACTTGCAGGCTGTTATGGACACAGTGCATGAAGTGCATGGGGAAAAGTGGATATATTGCATGTTATAATTCTAGTTTTCATGATTTAAGAAGAAGAAGAAGAAAAAAAAAAGCTTAGCTTGGATGTTGAATGTGAATTTTTGCTAGCTGTTTTCAAGGTGACAATTGGGAATAATAGCCCTGTTTAGCTAACTCACAGTGGTCCAGTTCATCATTCTAAATGGTGTTTTTATACATGGCTGCTGAAAGTTTGTGTCTTTTTTGAGCAGGGCTTTGAGTTTTCACCAGTTTAATCAGCAGTTACCAAACAAGGCACAAGCAGTGGTAGAATTGAAAAAGTAATTCTGGCTCTGACACTTGTTGATTTACAAGCTTTGGTAAACTTCTGTTAGAATCAGATTTTTGAATGAAAACTTAGATATGCTTAAAAAAGTTTTATTTATTTCATTTTTGAAATAGAAGCAATTTTTGCTTCCTAAAGGTTGTGTCTCACTGAAGATGAGCAACTATAAAGAGCTTTAGGCTTCTTACTTATTACTGAAGTAGAGATCTTATAATAAGAATTTTCATAGAGTCTGCTAATCTGCAGAATTTTATCATAGCTTGTCTCTAGTTAGTTACAATCAGTGTCCTTACTGTGGTTAATAACAAAATCTAGAAACTAAAGAAAGTGCGAAAAATCCTCTCTTTAGCTTATTTTATCCATCCAAATGGGGCTATAAATCCCTTTGTCGCAAAAATAGTCCTTTTTAATCATTCTTTTTGACCAGTCTTAAGGAGATGTATGGATTACAGTAACCAAACTAATCCATTTTTTTGGCTTTTTGCAGCTTTTGATCACTATTCAAACTTTGCTTGTGTATAACTTATTAAAACACTATAAGTGTGTATTGCATAACTTTGCTTTGAACAAGTCCAAGAAACGTGCCTTGTCTCAAGCCAAGTTTTTAGGTTTTAGAATTATGTCATCAGAATTGTTACTAGCTTCAGTTGTGTAATGGATCTTCTTTGATATGCTTTTTTAATACACAAAATGGATAGCTACTTTCGGGGACATACTTAACATTCCCTGCGTGTTAGTCCTAGTTGAAAAGTAAAGGATTAGTCCCGTAACAATGTAAACCTGAGGTGCCAGAAATGGGGTTCTTAGCATTTAAAATTAAGTGCATGTGTAAACATTTGCAGAATTTGGAAATAAATTTGCAGCATCAAACTGTTATTTGGTCCTGGAAAAGCCAATCGAAAGAAATCAGAACTGAGGAGTTGTGTGTATTGGTGTTTTTTAATTTGTTTTTCATTATTTAATGCAGGTGTTTGTATTGTAAACATTGGGGAGCATAAAAAAATCCTCTCTAAATTGTTAAAAGTAATTTTTCAAAATGGTCTTATTACTAAGTATAGGAAATATTTCTACAGATCTAGTTACTTGGCTTCAATTATTATATCTAAGTACATTCTTTGTATAAAGCTTCAACAATAATTATGATTACATTGATGATAGTGCATATTTGACTTCAGTGAATGGTAGATCTTCTAATTCCATCCTAAAAATGGATGTAAGTCTTAAACTTGAATTTCACCACTGCATATTCAACAAGTATTGTACATACCCAACCTAGACTTTTCACTGCTCCTGACAGGGTAAAAGGAGGGACTGAAAATAAGATATCATAAAATATAATCTGATATTCACACTGTGATGTCCACTTTGGTGCTTGTCTGCATTAAGTGCAGTTTAAAGGAAATGTCTTTCAAGTATCGACATCCACAAAGACTATCCCTGCTCAACTGCTCTGTCTGCAGTTAAATGTGTTACTGACAGATAAAAGTCTTTAAATCTGATTCTTCTAATAACTGTACGCCTATGTGATAGGCACAAGAAGGAGCCCCTCTGAGGTTAGGCAGGTGTTAGGTGCTTGTGTTCTTGAGGCTCTAATAAGGTCTGCACTTTTTTTTTTTCTTTTTTTCCTGGGGCTTGCAGTAGAAAGGATGCATTTTTGCAACGCTCCATATGTTAAATGTTTGCTTCGATGTCTACAAATTTTCAATGAAGCCAAGCAACTACTGGAAATTATTACTGCTTTGAAAGGCTAATAGCATCATATTTGGATCAAAACAGCCCTCTGTTAAATAAAAATAAAAAACTTAGTTTCCTTATAGCCTTATTTTTTTTACTTTAAGGCACTTCTCAGAGAAGGCTGGCTCTTCACACACAAGGCACTTTCCTTGGTTTGATTCCCTTTTTTTTTTTTTTTCTTTTTTACAGTTAAGTTTGCTTTTGTTGTCGTGTTTTGTCCTACTTTGTTTTACGTTGTGGGTTGCTAGGACCTGGATAAGACCCAGGACGAGCTACTGAAACACCAGGCTAGCATTAGTGAGCTCAAGCGCACTTTCATGGAGTCCACGCCCGAGCCCCGTCCCAGCGCGTGGGAAAAGCGGCGTATCCCCCCTGCGGCCCTGCAGGCACCCGCGGTACGTGGCGGCCCCGGCCCTGCATGCGCCTCCCCTCCCGGGTCTGCTTGTCCTGTGCCTTAATGCTGCTCTTCTAGCCCGTGGGGTGGAGTATTTGCTGGTACTAAGTGTGCGTTGACTCTTTACCGCCCTACTGTTGGACCTGACTTTCCTAACCTCAGGGTGGGATCTTTTCCTCCTGGGAGAGCAGCTCTCTGAGCTAGAATTGCCAGAAAAAAAACTGAAGCCATGGCCCTGTTTTACTCTGTTAAACAGAGCTTAAAATGCGCTCTGGTTTACCCAGGTTTTATGAAATTAGATTTCCAATGGCAATAAAACTCTTCTTCCGTTGCCTCTTTAACTCTCCTCAGGTGGGGTGTGCGTAAGCAGCTGTGTGGTGTTTCAGGAGGTCTTCCACATGATCTAGTAGCTGATGACGTTGGCTTCTTTGAGAAATACTTAGTGTAGCTCTTAAAATCTACTCACCTTGACCTCAAAAACTTTTAGGAGCTTCTTAGCTTTATTGTTTTCCATATCTCCTATATGACTGAATCTCAGTAGAGCAGTTTGGAAAAAAAGTTTTCCAAAGATGATATCCTAAATGTTTGTGGCCAGAAAACTACTCAAAGAAACTTCTGTTGCTGTTCTGAAACTTAACAGTTTTACAAAGAGTTATTTGCTGGTTCTTTGAGTAGAAAGGCAAATCAGTCTTCAAAACAGTCAGTTTATCTTTATCCTTTTTTTTCCCCTTACTTTGCCCCCGCCTCAGGCCCCAAAATGTATTGTCGTACTAATCTCACTGCACTTGTTCAGCTCTATCTTCATGCCCCAGAGGGATGAACTTCCAGATTAAGCTTCCTTGAGGCTATCAAATGATTTTTGTTATCAAGGCTTTACTTCAGCAAGAGACTTACGTGCTCTGAGCTATGCACAAGTGTGTGCAGATACCATAGCTACTTCTTTAATGACTGTTTTTAAAAGTGTGGTCACTGGCAGGCAGTGAGCCTTCAGATGAGTGTAGTAGCGTACGGGTAGACACAAATGCTAGTCAAGCTTTCAAATGTTCCAGAAACCTTGGTTCATCTAATATCAATACTTTTTTCCCTATTACAATAAGCATTCATGTAAAGGTGCAGATTATTTTTTATTATGTGCTTGTGTATATTTTCTATGTCAATTTCTTTGTGTTGAAGTTGACTAGACTTCCAGTATTGCACTTTTATCTTTTTCTCATTTATTATGTTGTGTTGCTTTCAGACCAGTTTGGCTTTATGTTTATGTGTAGTATGTGTCTGTCTCACTGCTTAATGATTTACGCTGGTTTTACAAAATGAAAACCAAATAGAAAAAAGGAGACTACATTTTCCAATTGAAAACGCCGCCTTTGAGGGAGAAGCAATGGACTGCAATGCCGTGGACTGCTGAAGCAAAACCAGAGGAGACTGACAAGGTGGCTGCCCTGAGACCTACTGCCCTTGTGCTTTATCTGCTATGGGCTGGCTGGTGCACTTTCTTCTTTTCCTTTTTTTTTTTCCCTGATGGAAATAACTTGCTTAAGCCAGTAGTGAAGGGAGAAGCCTAAGTCTTAAACCAAGACACACACACATATATATATATATTTTCTAGCAACATTTTGCTTAAACACCAAACCAGGTGTGAAGTTCTGAGTGGCTCCCACTTGAAAAGACAATTTTCACAGGAAAATTACTCTATTTGTTTTATGTGAGTAGGATGACAGCAAAATATATTTCCATTCCAGGTGGAAATAGTTGTTTGCACACTTTGAAATTATTTGACACTTCATGCACAAGAATTTTTTGTTTGCATTGCAATGGGGTATATTGTTATGTAGCCATTTTCCAGATCAATGATGCTGTAGTAAAAACGGCTTCATTTGAAATGCAGCCTGGTTCTGAATATGTCCGTGCTTCTGCACCTCTTTTTTTTCACTCATGAAAAGGAAGAAGTTTTCTCCCCTCCTAAGTTGCTTTGACATTTTTGTTGTAGTGAAAAGCACGGTATAAAAACTTAGCGGTGTTTCTAGCAGTGTGATTGCGATGGTGGCTAGCAATTTGATGTTGCTTTTTGACATCACTTTTGAACTGTTTTCCACCACCTAAAATTTGAAATTAAAATAGACTAGGAGCCCCTTTTCAGTAACATATATAAATAAATACCAGGTTTGGAAAACAGCACATTTTCTTCTTGAAGTATTTGTTCATGAATACAGAGAATCTGGAGTCCAAGTTCTTTCTTACCCCTGACTTATGATAAACCTGCCTGGTATTTGTAGACAATGCTCAGCCTCATTAGTATTATTAGTCTTGTAATTAGTAGACATTGCTCAGTTTTATTGCTAGAATGCTTTTTTTTTTTTTGATAGGATATTCGGAAAATAGACATGAGTAAAGCTGCTACCTACTACTGCTAATTTTCTTTTTTTTCCCCTTCCTTTTGCTTCACTGAAAATACAGGTCAATAAGTCTTTTTGCTAAGTATGAAAAATGTTATCTTAGTTAAATTTCATTTTTACCACTGTACCTCTTAAATGCACAGCATCTGTGACTTAATTGTGACAAAAATATGGTATACTGGTATGGATGTTACAAATACTTGAAATGTTGAGTCTGGATATCCAGAATCAATGTTTTTCCCTGCTACCCAAACCTGCTGCTTGCTTATAAGCGATATTTCATGTTAGTGTTTCTGCATGTGCCTGACTGCTTGCTAGGAAGCTAAGGATCTACAGAGGGTGATACGTACATATATACATACATACATAATACATAATTATTGTAAATATAGTAATTTAAAGATTTCCAATGCCATCTATTTGCTTAATCTATATGAAATGCATAATAGGACAGGGCTTGTGTTATCAGGCACATAGCTGCTAGTGTTTTCCTTCTTTTAAAAGTTTTTTTAAAAAAATCAGAAGACTTAAAAAAAAAAAAAAATGGTGGTAAAATGCAAATAGATGGGGGGATACGTGTCTCTGAGATGTGCAGTCTGACCGCATGCAGAGATTGTGACTTTTTTCTATATTACAATTTTGAGTGGTTGGAATAAATGTGGTATCAGAGTACAGCAGAGGCATCATGAATTATTTTTGGCTTTTCTTGTAAACTATAATTAGATTAACTTTTGTTAGGCATAATAAACTAGGGTGAGTAGAAAGCGAGGGTAACACATTACCCTGATGGATGTCAAATTTAGCAACATTGCTGATCTTATCAGCTTGCATTCAGTTTGTTTTCCTAGCCACTTTTGAATGATACTTAAAATTTTATTGTAGGAGGAAAACAGAGGGGTGGTTCTTTCTTTTCTGTTCTGCATGCCATACATGTAGTACTATGCATAGTACTATGTACACAGTAGCACAGTGCTGCTTAAATACATGTCCGGCTTCTAAAATGCTAATATAAAAGTAGTTCTGTGCATGTTGTAGTTCTCTGCATTGTGTTTTGTCTTTCCTCTGAAATGTGCTTCTGCCTTGATTGTCTGCATTTCCTAAGATAGAAATATTTAATGTTAGCAAAATGTACGTTACATCTATATTATACTTGTTATGTGTCTGGCTTTTTATTTTAACTGCCTGCTTGTGATGTGATACAAGAGCTTGTGGAAGGAAAACTGAGATGAGAATTAGAGCTTTTTCAGAAGGCTGTGCCCACACAAATTTTAATTTTTGTTTTACCACACAGGTTGATAGCGCTCCAGAAAGTAGACTGGACTAAATATAACTTTTCCCAATTCCCTTTTTCCAAAAATTCCCAATAGAGTGGGCAAGGCTTTTAGTAAGTGGTTCCTTAATAAATACAGATCTGCTTAAGTGGGATTTGGGGGCCCGGGGGGAGTCGTTTTTGTTTTATGATTTTATATTTTTCAAGTAGCTACTTGAAAAACAACCTTTAGAAGTTATAGTGAATACATTTACTTTAGCCTTCTGGCTGTGTTATGTTCAAAGAAGATGTACTTGACTACTCCGTGCCCGAAGCTTTGAACCACTAGGGGCAAGATGCTAAGAAATGATTTATTATTATTATTTTTTAATGGAAATAATCCCAATATTAATCTATAACTAATATTATAGAATTAAGGAATTATCCTCCACAAAATGTTTATCGCTTCTTTCCTCCGCTTAATGTTTGTGACTTTCCTGGTGTGCAGTAGAGAGCCGCTTGGCGGGCACACGCGCTGCGCACACACACACACACACACACACGTGTGTGCGGGCACACGCACCGTGCTGCGCTGCTGCCGTGCGCTGCGCTGCTGCCGGGAAGGCCGAGGCCGCCGCGCCGCCGCGCCAGGTGCGGTCAGCGCCCGACGGCCTCGGGGCGGCGGAAGTGCCGCGAGAGCCGGGATTAAGTCACAGATGATGTGTGGGGGATTAAGATTGGCTGGGAGAGCGGGGCGGGAGGGGACCTAAAACCCAAATTATGGAGTTTTTAAATCTAACCTACAGATATCCACTGCGTCACTTTGTCATGGAAGAAATACTAATGCAGTTTACTCACCCTCACCGTTCGAGCAGCACACTGAATCCTAACGGCATCATCCGGGTGATCGCCTATTGCTGTTTTAATAACGTACCAGCCTAAACAATCTCCCCCTTACTATCTGTTAAATTTCATAAAGTGGCAGACCACAGCTGAACTAATAAAGCCTTCCAATAAAGTCTTATTGTGCGTGATAATAACCTGATAGGAGACTGCTAAAGTTTTTGTTTTCCAGCAATATTATTTGTTACTAATTCCTGATGTGAGATATCTGCCTCCATAGCATGACTGACTAGTGTGTTCATGGTTTTTCACATTTTACATAATTATCTTGTTTTATCCTAATTAATAAATCCTTTTTTTTTTTTTTTTTGAGTAGAATATTTTAATGAAGTGGAAGGAAAAGAGCTTAGTTCTTTGCGGCTCTCACAGTAAACGCGCATTACCTGTCTAATTTCACCAATATACATTCCTAAAGCTTGCCGTGCCATGGCTATGCTGTTGTAAAGGGATGTGCCTGTGTTTTGTGTAGCATATTAAGTATTTGTGTTTCCTGGTGCTTAGAAATTGCATTCATTTGTGTCCTTTGATTGCTTTTTGTTTCACAGAGGCATGGTTCCCGAGCAGAAGGGCCTTGCGTTGGAGTCAGCGATGCTGATAAGGTTCTACTGATTTTTCCATAGTTAAATCTGGCTTTGACGCTTCCAATCCATCTTCATTCTTTCTTTCCCTTTTCAGTTAACCATCACAACCATCTTTTGTCTTCTACATGACACGAACCAGCCATCAGCTAATCTCTTTTTTTTTTCTCTCATCATTTTAATTTATTCATATACTATACTTTTGTTTTTCCTCATCCGTGTTTTTTGTGCAGAGTTCACATGAGACTCTGGACATAGTGGAGGAGAAGAAGCAGGCAGAGGTTGGGAGAGAAGAAGCAGTAGTCATAGACGAAACCAACAAAGGGAAAATACAAGTTGCTACTGATGCTGGGGAAACATGTAAGGTGGAACACCTCGCCAAAAAGGACTCATCGTCGTTGCCGTCAGATAGTAACAGCAGCAGTAGTAGTGAGAGTGAGGATGAAGAGGTGGGAGAATACCAGCCACATCATAGGGCAATTGAGGAAGTCATCAGGGAAGAACAAGAAGAAGAAGATGATGCAAACAGGAAAAAAGAGCACCAGGAAAAGATAATGCAGCCTGTAGAAGCTACAACAGAAGGCAGTAAAGTACATGTACCAGCTGAGCACGTAGCTCAAGTTGCAGCTGAAGCTTTGGTCCAGGAAAATGCAGTTACCCTAGCTACAGAAGAGAAGAAGGTCTCAGAGGAGGTGAAGCAAGACGTAGGTGAAGAAAAAGAGGAAGAGCAGCTCAGACTGAATGGAGATATGTCTCATGTTGACATTGATGTTGCACCTCAAATAATTTGTTGTTCAGAGGTAAATGGTAGATCAGTTTGACGACTAGATTAAACAGAGAGGTTTCTCGGGGTGAAAATATACCTGGCTTTCTTCTTCTCCTGTTCTTCCAGCTCTTCAGGCATTCAGCAAGATTCAGATCATTTGGAAGGGGAAACCACTGAGAGCAGAGAAATTCTGTCTCCTTCAGTTATGGTTTCTGGCTTTTTGCTAGAACTGGATGCAAATCACCAGTACAGCAAACCTTCCGAAGGCTGCCATCTCCTTTTTCTCTCCCTCTTATTTTATAGGCACATGCATAATATATTTTTTTACATGTTTTTATTGTTTTAAGTCTCGTCTTGTATTTGTCAATTGTTTTTGACATGTCCGTGACCTGTAATTGTGATCGGAAAAGGAATTGGAAAATGTCGGTCACAATTTTTTGTACCTTTTTTTTTTTTTCCGCTATTATCTGCTGCTGCTCTTTTTTTCTTTTTTTTCCTTCTCTTTTTTTTGAAAAATATTTATGGATTTGGGGACTAGAATAAGTATGGTTAGGAACTGGGTAGATATTTAAAGGGAATGCACATGTAATTATCTTAGTGGGAAGTCTTCTAGAAGGCAAGAAAGCCACCTGTGTGTGAAAGTGTGTGAAATACAGATAAGGATCTAGGACCTTTTTTCTAAGTGCCTTTGAAATCAATGGGAGATAGCAAGTGATGCATCCAGCAGAATTATAAAAGGCTTTACTTGTGTTCCTTAAGTTATTGAATATAATTGAAAGTCTCTTGCAATACCGTAAGTCACGAGTTCATTGGCTTAGGGATCTCCTTGTTAATCGCTGCCTTCTTGACGTGGAGAACACAACTAGCAGACCTCTAAGTGGGTAAAATCTTTTTTTAAGGTCAAAAGAGGCTATTGATATCTAGACTTAGTACAATGAATGTAGCCTGCTTAAAAACCAAAAGTCAAAGTTGTCTTTCTGACCCAGAAGTAGTACCTTTGAAAAGCAAACGTTTTGTGATATTTTCTTGAATTTTTAGTCCTTATTTGCAGCTAGGCTAGTTGAGATGATACTTTTTCTGGTGAAGTCTAGTGTGAAGTTTATCCACCTGAGCTAGCTGTGAATTTCTTGTTTAAGGGAACATTTACCTAAGGTAGATTTTTTTTCTGCTGATGCTGTTTCAACCATTTTAAATACCTATGTTGCAAATTAGTTTTAGAAATTACTTTCTAATATATTCGGTGCTAGCAACTCTAGCAAATGCTATTAGGAGATTAGAATTCCCTCTCACAGTTGGCTACGACAACTAGAAAACTGGTTTATTAGTCCTTATTTCATTTTGCTTGTTTATTTTTGCTTCTTGATTGGGAAAATGGTTTAAAATATTTATCTTACTGCTACGCTTTTGACAGGGTTTTCGTTGCGCTTTCTTGGTCCAGTTCACAAGCCTTTTTGTTACGTCTTTTGAATTATTTCTGTCTGTTGCACCACAGCCTCCAGTAGTGAAAACAGAGATGGTAACCATTTCGGATGCTTCACAGAGAACTGAAATCTCCACTAAGGAAGTTCCAATTGTTCAAACAGAGACTAAAACCATCACATATGAATCTCCACAGGTATAGTGACTTGGTCATTTGATCTATCATTTGGTATATGGTTTGCAAGTCAAGTTTTATTACACCCCTTTCTGGCTCGAATTAAAGAGATATAATGCCCAAGAAATGCTTTACAAAAACCTGTGCTTACTTCTAGCAGCCAAGACTATGCTTTGACTATGGATTAGTTGGACTGAAGAAACTATTACTTTAACAGTGCCCAACTCCTCTTTTATTTAAAAAAGAAAAGAAAAAAAAAGCTAGTTTATAATTGTCTGCAAATGTAAAGCCATATTTACTATTGGAAATTTGATTTAAATCTAATTGCCCCTGAAAAGAGCACCAACTTTAATTATAAATCTTGTCCAAGACTAAAACATAACAGTCTACACAATTCAGTAAACTTGATGACTTCTATTCAGATTTTTGGTTTTTAACTTTTTCCATTTGAACTGAAGATTTAAGTGTCTGCTCAGTGATTAAAAATGCAGTTTTTCAAGTTAAAACATTTCAAGTTAAAACATTTGGCATTTTTTAATGCCAAAGTATGAAAAATAAAACCCTTTTTTCTTCTTGCAGTTTGATGGCAGTCCAGGCAGCAATGCTGGTGTCCTGCTGAGTGCACAGACAATTACATCAGAATCAATTTCCACTACCACAACTACACACATTACAAAGGTAAGATGGATAAAGTCTCTCTGAACTGAAAAATATCTAATGTAGCTCCTCAGACCTCTGTTCTGCTAAACAAAGCTGACTTAAAATAGACTGGATTCATTTTAGGCATATGGAGTGAGTTGACTTTCCAACAGAGAAGTCTGAATAAGGGAGAACATCTGGGAAGCGGACAGGGAAGGGTATGGAAATGTGCTGAAGTGCTTCAGTACTTCATATAGGTGTGATTTCTGGGGTTAGACAAGGTGTTTGGACCTAGATTTTTACAGTCTTGATTCTGTTCTCATTCACTGTGTACAGCCTTTGAAAACACAGGAGCCCCATTAATGGAATCTGCCATGAGGATGTACAGACACAGTTGTTTTTTCATCTTGGTGGTGTTCTTCCTTGCACTGTTGCTTCTAAAGCAGATTTAGAAACAAGTCGTACAGTTAGATTGCTTTGGCAAACAAGTGTTTTGGGAGATGAGCTATCTCCTTCATATATCTCTTCACAGTATGTTAGAGCTACCAAGTATTATTTTTTTCATCATTTATGCAAGCATTTCTAAAAATTTAAAAGATGTGTACTAACAGCAGAGTTTTCATCTCATGTCTTTGAACTGTTAGCATATTTTTCTGAGAAGACTGCAGAAAGCATTATTTGAAGTAAAGAAAAAGGGAAGAGGAAAAATGTAAGGTACATTTTGGGGTATTTTTTCCTGCCAAGACAAAAAGCTTCATGTCACCACAGAATGGAACAGTAACTCACTGCATCAGTGGTTAGTTTTGCAAACAAATAATCTAAGATAAATTTGCATTTGCAGAAGAACCTTGCAGAGATGATGTTGGAAAGTTGAGATGAAAGTCACCCAACAGAAACTGAGCTTAGAATTTAAAATATGATATTTTATTAAATAGATTAACCAACAGATGCCCTTCAATCTCCTACTTCTTGGATTCATTAGCCATCACCATCCTTACTGAATAAAATATGCTTTACCCATTCAAAATTAGGAAGTGGGATTTTCTTGTTAAGTTCAGATGTGAAAAAAAATGTTTCATTTAGGAAGCAACTGTTTAAATGAGAAGTATTTTAGTCTTCTCAAAAATGACTAGAAAGACATCTTTTCTTGTAGACTGATGATCATTGATTCAAAAGGCTTTATGAACTTTCACTATTAATATCGGAACCTGAAAAAATTGAAATGTTATTTTTCTAACAATGTTCTTGAAAGAATCATCTTGAAACTTTTCTAATACAGTTAATGCTTCTTAAGAACTACTTTCTTCTTTTCTGTCAGGCAGGACTTAAAATAGCATAGGATTTAATTTATTTTTAGAAATATTTCTCTAAGCAACAATTTTTTAATCATTAGAGTGAGATGGGAAGAAACAAGGCACAATTATTTCCATCTTGCATCTTGCCAGTCTTATTTGATGGAGGAGGTTGGAACTCCCATTCGTGTGTGCTTCTAGATGTGTTCAAACTTGAGTTTAAAAACACAGAAGGAACCCTCCTTGCTTGTTTTTTCTTGGGATTTTTTTTTCTAGGCTTTTCTTATCACTACAATATATCTAGCTGCATAACTGAGGAGAGAAAAAAAATACAAGAATATTTACTGCTAACTGCAGTCCATTGACAGAGAAATTCCGTTGTTTCAGTGCAGTGGAAAGGAGTGCTTTGCGAATCCTCTTCCTGGTTATACGGAATAACTGTAAAGATGTTTTCTTGTTTTTGTGCCATCTGTAGATGGTAAAAGGTGGGGTATCAGAAACAAGAATTGAGAAGCGCATTGTCATTACTGGAGATGCAGATATTGACCATGATGAGGTGAGTGTGTGAGCTGTTAATATGTCCAGTGTGTTGCTAACAGTCCAGTCATCCAAAAGTTCTTCCAAAAATAAAAAAATAGGTAAATAAGTTGAATATGAAGAATCAGATAGATGCTAGGATAGTCGGGCAATTGCAGCAAAGTTGTTAGCAATCGTGTTTTCTGAATGAGGAGTATTTAGGGTATAACTGAGGAAAAAACATTTGCAACTTTGCATTGCAGATTACAGGAGTGGTTTTTCTACCCTCTTTAAAGTGGTTGCGTTTTCTGGAATAGTACTGTGCAGTGCTTTTTCCTGCCAAATGGGGAAAAAAAAGCATTACTACAGTCATCCATTTTAAAATATTAATCTAGATAGGCAGGAGTCCTATGCTTCATGTCAGCAACATTTGAATGCAAATCTCATTTTGAATGAAATCCTTGAAATATATTAAGGCATAAACTACTTGAGTTCAAAAATAATAGTTTTTGCTCTCTATGTGCAAAACTGCGTATAATGAAAGAAATGTAATTGTTGATTCACTGGAGCCTTATATAAGTGTCTTTGATCTTTATCACAAAATCGATTGCAATTTTTTATGGTCTTAGAAGAAAGTTACTATCACTTCTATCTGCTCAATTAGCTGAATTTGAGAAGTACATAGACAAAACTTGGAGAAAAGTGTAATTAGATCTTCTTTGGAATGACAAAGTTAATTGACAATCAGTGGAAATAATACATATTAAAATGCCTGCCTCTACATAAAACTGCACTGAATCCAACTCTAACTTTATGGTAGCTACCCAAATCAACAGGATTTAATTTAACTTCTCGGTCGTGACATAGCGAGAGCTTTCTGTGAATCTAATTTCAGATTTTGATGTGCCTCTGGAAAGTGTCTCATGACAAATTCAATCTCTTTTTGAAGCTTGTAATTAAATGACAGAGCTGTTAAGCATTAGGCACAGTTTGTATCTGCCTTGACATCCCTTTAATGTATTTATGATGTTTGAAAAGGTCAGACAATACTTTTGCTTTAGTAAAACTGTTCTCCTAGCCCTCCTTTAATCTAAGGTAATGAAGTAAAAAAAAATGAAACTGCATTCTTTTGTCTTTGTGCCCTCTACATCACTAACCAGTTTTTAACGAAGAGATGTTTTAAACTGAGTTTCAGAATACAAATGATTCATACACTTCCTGTGATACAGGGATGAGGGACTTTAATCAAGCCTCAAACAATGAAGAAATATATAAAACAGCAATTCTTAAATCTGAACAGCCGGTTTTTTTAATCTTCACTTGTACTACATAGAATACATTTGGCGTACCGTAAAACACAAACTAATAATAAAAAAATACAGTTAATACAAGAGCAAACATCGATATTGTTCCAGTGCATTATGTATGCTTCTGTACATGTTTTCTTATCATATCTTCAGCTTCCTTGCCTGTTAATCATTAAGGTGGAAAATGTTGATGTTCTTCCAGTTTTCTTTCAAAATTTATTATTCCTTTTTTAACTACCATCTACGGCTCAGGAACTTTTCACATTTTTAAACTAATATCCATCTTCTTGTTGCATCATGTTTTTCTTCCTGCTTCTAGTATATATTTTAAGTGGTGCTTGATGCTAGACTGACTGTGAGTTTGTTGTTGCCATACAGTACCTTTGCCAGCTCCTTTCAGCTTCTTCGTGATTTCTTTTGTTGTTCCATCAGTAATGCAATTGGCCAAAATAAGTTTCAGATGAAGGAACCAGAGCTCTTTTGTGTGCTCTGCCACAGAAGTGCACTTCTGTGGTTGGCTGTGAAACCTCATGTGCAGTGACACATCTCTTAAGAGGATAAAATTTCTTAAAATGTGGAGAAAGCATTAAAAAGAAACTGACCAGTTATACTTCCCTGAGTTAAACTAGAGAATTTTGTCTTCAACTAGTAAAAGGAGGAAAAGGAGATTCTTGTTTTGGGAATGACATTTCTGTTATGATCTTCTCCTGGAGCTTCAGCAAGGTATTTAGACCAGATAGTTTAAAAAAAAAATGGTGGGGGGGCAACTTTTACTTCTAGTAGTACTGCTTTGTCTTTTATTTGCCGAATCTTTTGTAAAAGTTCTAAAACTTCAGGTATAGGAGTACTTTCCCATGGAATAAAGTAAGTTATTTTATGGGTGTCTTTTGTTACTTTTTGGAAATTTCAGTAAATCTACAAAGCCAGATTTAATACTGGGGGAAGAGAAGGGAAGAAAGAGGGGTGTTCTTTTGTTCATTTATTTGATGGAGACCTTCCAAACTCAGAAATTTAGTTGCTCAGAACTCTATTATGAAAACTTCCAGTACAGCTTGTCTACCTCCCACGTCTCTATGAGTATCTTTTTGTAGCCACTGAAGTTATATTTCAAATATTTTTGCAGGCCCTGGCACAGGCAATCAAAGAAGCCAAAGAACAGCACCCTGACATGTCTGTCACAAGAGTAGTGGTGCACAAAGAAACTGAACTTGCAGAGGAAGATGAAGAGTAAAATCAAAATGCCATCAAGCAAATATTTCAGGTAAACCTTCAATGTGGAAACAGGTTCAATAACATATATGTGTAAGTAACATAGTTTGAAAAAGTAGCATCAATTTTCTGCTCTATTCTGCATTCCGACTGGTTTGACGAGTACTGGGGCTTTTTGGTATACACTATCACAAACTGGTGCAATGAAACATGCACTTAAGTGCAAGAACTGATCGTAAGTCCCCACTCGCATAAATTTTTATTTAAATTTGAATTTTTCTTTTAAGTGTCTCCCAGTTATATTACAGTACTCTCACTATGACATTTCCTGTGACATTTGGTCAAGTGACTGTAGTTTATCATAAGTGAATTTGGGCCATTTTGGTAAATACAAAGCATATGTCATGTTTTTTGTACCAGTACAATTACAGAGAAGGAGTTAAAAGCTTTGCATATTGAAGTTTTAATGCCTCTTATCAGGTGAAAGAAATATACAAAGGAACACCCATGTACTAGGCCCTCATTCAGTTGGTGTATTCTTCAGTTCCAGCATATTTGTATTTGAGGCTGGACTTTTTCCTCTGTTGGTATAAGTGCGATAAAAAAAGGAAACAAAACTCCCGCTGTGGCCTCCCCTACACTGTGCAGGGGAGAAACGTCACCCCCTCAGGCGGCTCATGCCGGTGTTCCCAAGGCAGCCCGGGACGCTGATGCCCACCTTCACCCCCAGGGCTTGTTGCTGGCTCACGTGCAGCTTTGTGCACTAGGGTGCCCAGGTCCTGTTCTGCAAAGCTGCTGCCTCTGGCCTGTCGCGGTGCCTGGTGGTGTTCCTGCCCCGCTGCAGGGCTTTGCCTTTCCCTTGGTAGAACTTCATGAGGTTCCTCCCTGCCCATTACTCCAGCCTTTTGAGGGCCAAAAGGCAGGACACTATCTGGTCCATCAGTCACTCCTCTTAGCTTTGTGTCACCTGCACATTGCCATTATGAAAGAATTTGAGTCTTCCTGAACTACAAAGCAATCACAAACACCCTGGCTATTGTTAGTAGGAGACACTGAACTCCTGCGACATACAGCATACCTACATTGACAGTATTGAATGCTGTGAAAAGGTCCAGGATGATCAAGGTAGGATGTCTAACCTCTGCCCACAGACAGAAAGATTATCCCAGTTGTTTGTATCAGAGGCCTCGTGTTAGATCTAAATGTTATTTCAAGCAACCTGAATTACCAATTACCTCTTGCCTTTGAGCTTGCTCAGAAACTATTTTTCACATAGTACAAGAGCTAAGCTTGAGCTACCCTCTGAAAATTGCTTTAGTTGTGCAGTTACTTGAAAAAGTAATTAATAACCTTTGCTCATAATTTATAAAATCCATGAAGAAAATGGATCAGGTTTGGAAGTGTTAGGTTAACACTGCTTCACCTGCTAGATGTAATGTTATAAACTGTGGAAATATCAAAGGTCTGTCTTTTGGTGGACGTGAATGATTCTGGCCTTTTTAGAAAGAATTTCAAAAGCTGCAACCTCTCTCAAGTAGTTGCCCAGCTGTCAGTAGCTTAAAACACCCAGTGCTGTGCCTGGCAGACGCTTCTTTGTTTTCATGTGCCAGATACGTAAGAGGGCTGTAGAGAAGAAAGGCTTCCCTTATACTTGAATGCGTTGAAGGGTGATGGAGTGGGTAGGGGTTTGGGAGTTGTTTTGTTTCCTTTTTGTTTGCTTTTTAGTAAAGGCTAATGTGACCAAGTCACCAAAAATAAAGAACTGCTCAGGAAGCTCTATATGTTGTCACTCTCATTTCTTATTTCAGTGTTCAGCTACATTTGCTTTGTAGCTTTGTTGCTTAGTAACACTGGAAACTGTGGAAAACTCCCTGCAGGCATGGCATGTATGCCCCAGCTTTGTTCTGAAAATATAGGAGATGACATGGGGTGACACTGAACTGTAAGGTGGTAATGGCTGACAAGGCCCCACATCACATAATGGCAAAAATAGTTCTAGATGATTGTGTTTAGGCTTTTGAATTACACTGTGACTCTTGATTATTTGTTTCTAAGGTAATGAAAACTCTGCCCTGGCTATAACTACAGCAATAATCTTTGTAGAACTTTGTTGTCTGTAATAAAAATGAGAAATCCTACACTTGGGTTCTCAAGGATTATTGTTTGAAGGAGTTATTTTGTATTTACCTATTCACTAGATTGTGGGTTAAATTTTTCAGTAAACCGTGCGAGAGGTGAGCTCTTAAACACTAGGGGAATTCTTGAGTAGGGAACCTCCTCTCCCCCACCCATACCCTCCCATTTCCAAAACCCTCTAGAGAAGTGAGGACATCTGAAATCCGTTGATGTGAAATTCACACTGTTCCTCATGAATGTGTGTATAATCTTTGCACTCTTTTTCTTACAGAAATAAAAGGAATGACGGTGACCATGGTCATGCCCATGAAGAGTTGTGACCATTCCAATTCCCCAGGCCTCGCAGTGAGGACCAGACATTCCAGACTGAACTGCCAAAACCAAACGTTGCTCTAACATCTTGGGTCTATATTCCCTTGCAGTCTGACTTGTTCCTTTTTTATAACCACTTAACAATCTTAGAGTTTTTTATGACATTTTAGAGGATTTCATCTTTTTTTGCACACCTACTTGCCACTTTGGAAGCTGATTTCTTTACTACATGAAAGTGAACAAAAGATCTGGTAAGCGTTGTTGGAGCAGGTGGTAACTGTGCAGAAAGGAGGATCTTAACTAATTTAGATAAGTTTTTTTTTTTTTTTTTTCCTCCAGATATTTCAAATGAAATCTCTTACTGGAATAATTTACAGATTTTTTTTTCCAGATTATTCAGGTATATATATTACCATATATATATAACAAAGTTTTTTATAACAGTAAAACATTTCCTAAAATTTGACAAAATATATTTCTTTGGATAAATTTTATACTGATATATCTATAACTCCTTCTGTTCTAAGGATCTCCTTCTCTCTGAGGGACAGAGATAGTGTGGCTGTCTGTAGAGAAAAAGGAGTACAGAGAAATTTCTTCTGACTGAGCACTGTGTTTTAAAAATCTTTTGCACTTTGGTGCCAATGCTCAACTCTATATAATATAGACGCTTCGCAGTCTGCAACATTCCAGATAAGGAAAGAAGGAAGCATCCTTGTTCAAAGCATCCTTCTCTTCTTCCAACAGGAGATGATATAGGCAGCTTAAAACCTTAGTGCTTTCATTTTTTTTCTTACTATGTCCAAATTTCAACGCTTCCATTATTTGAATACATGTGTAGAATACTTGCTTTCTATTAAACCTCACTGTCTACATGTTAGAACTGACATTTCTGTTATTGAGAAAGTATGTGTTTCAGATGCTTTGTCTAATGAATTAATGCAGGTTTTTAGGATACTGAGCAAAACTGAGTGATGGATCTCATTCATAAAGTAGTAAGACAGTAATATCGTTTGATACGGACTGCCGTTGAGAAAACCCGTCACTGATGTTGGATTATATTTTTATTTGGGGCAATTTTTTTTTTTTTGCTGTTGACTGTGTATAGTTAAAATGCCAAATTAGATTTATAGCAGCTTGAAGTTCTATTAAGTGATATTTTGCTTTCTGTAATTCTGTTTATAAAATAAAGTTGTTTATTCTCTACTTGACTTTTGGCACTTAGGCATAAATTTGAGAGATATTTAAGGTGAGCAAATCGGTTTGAGGTAACTGCAATTTTAGAGGCGACAGAACCTTGAAAAGTAGGGAATTGATACAGAGCAGTTTTTCAGGTTTACCTGAAGGCTGGTATGATCTTCTGGCTCTTGCTAGAGTATCAGTCTGTTTTAGATCTCTTCCAGTGAACATCCTGGTTTCTGTGTCTCAGAAAAGAAACCTTTAGATGCCAAAAACACACTGGACAATAGTCCACATGTGAAAATGCCCCTGAGTCTGCAAGTGCTTCTGCTGAGCTCTTTGGGTGAGAGTGCACTGTGGCCTTCAAGTAACACCTCATCATAATACTTCTCAATACCCTTTTTTTAAAATCTCCTCTGAACAATATATTCATTATTGGTGCTGTTCCCAGTTTCACTTGATGCCATCTGTCAGCATGCTGGTTTAACACTAGTTCATGTTATATTTGGTTTCATGTAAGTTGAATAATATAAATCAACAGTAACCAAGAAGTTAATTTATATATGGATATAGGTGTTCTTAATTACATCCCAGGGCATATAGATGTATGTAATTAAGACCTGAAAAATAGCAGGGAATCCAATTCATCGGCTTTTCAAAAATAAAGTCATTCTTTCTTTCAAATGAAAGAAGAACCCAACCAATAATATGAGGAGAAAAAAATACTGTGTATGAATAGAGAGATTGTCAAGAAAGTAGCACATTATGCATAGGCAGGAAGAGGTCAAAATGGGAAGATAAGATTTTTAGCAGTTGTCTTGGTGAATTTCTCATACAAAAATATGCAAGAAAAGACTCTATAAAATCTTTGAGGGGTTTTTGATGTGGTATAGTATTAGTTGCAGAACTTGTTTAGTGAGAAGAAGGCGTATTACTTCAGTTTCTTATTGAGTTGGATCTTTGATGTGTTAGACTCAATCTAGATCAGTATTGTTGTTTTTATTACAATTGTATCTAATCCTTCAAATTACAAATATAATATTCCTAAACTATTACCTTCACTGAGAGCCATATTTCTTCAAATACTAACCTGAACCTTATGTCAGGAACAAGAGAATGGTGCCTTTAGGCCAGCATAGTTTGTGCGTAGCTATCACTTCCATTAATTAAACACACACTGAACACACATATTTATTATCTTTGACATGTAGAAAAACTGTAGCTCCCAAGTGCGGCCAATCCTAAAAATACTCAAGGTTTACTGATGCTGGTTGCAAATAAATATTAAAATGTTCTAGAATACTGGGCAATTCTGATGTTTTATTGTGTTTATATATATATATATATATATATATATATATATATATCTGTAGAAAATACAGTATTGCAACACATGCAGGAAAACAAACTGTGGTCAAGACACTT